CAAGCAATTCTCCCACCTCCACCTCCCAAGTAGCTGAGACTGTAGGCATGCACCACCATGCCCCGTTTCTATTTTTAGTAGAAATGGGGTTTTGCTACGTTGCCCAGGCTGGTTTCCAACTCCTGGACTTAAGCTATCATCAGCCCACCTCTGCCTCCCAAAGTGCTTTGACTGCAAGTGTGAGTCACTGTGCCCAGCCTAGACAAATTTTATAAAAAACGTTTCTGTTGCTTGCCATATCTGACTTCACCTTCTACTTCATCAAAAACTGATAAGAAAATAACATCTATATGAGTGATTTACATTATTTTCATTTTCACGTTACTTCTAATTCCACAACTCCCAAAATTCCATTCCTACTTTTTCCTTTTCCTTTCCCCAAAGAGACTATATTAAAGCTAAGATTAACGATGTCTTTTATTTGACTAAAAGTTGCTTAGTGTGAACTATATTGTGTTAGACCAGCATATCCTGACATTTCAGAACATTATTGTGCTTATAAGTTTATTTTTATGAACCAAATTATAGCATTAAATCATTTATAGATAACTGCACCTAAATTTGAGTTTTTTGACAAAAGTGTCACTTTCCTGTAACTTGAAAAATTTGGCTTCCAATAGGATCAAGACCTGTCTTGGGCTGGTCAGTTGTGAAGAGTTTTCTGAGGTTGGGGCTCCTCTCACCACTAAAAACTTATCAGATACCAAATTAATTGTATACACCACACCCATGTTATGAATCCCATTATGAATACCTATGTTGTAATTCAATGTGCATAATGGGATTCATAATTCACTTCAGTGCTTCTTTAATGAATGTATAGATCACCGCCTCTAATCCTTTAAACAAACTGATGAGAACTTTAGTAATTTTGGAACATTCTAATCCTCAGTCCTCTGAGCTCAAAACAAACACATAAAACCCATAGAGTCTTATTTCCAGGGTTATAAACTCATTAAGTGTTTACTTTGCTAGCCATGGGGGCACTCTGTAAGGTACTTTGTGTTCCTGCTGTGTGTCCTGTAAAACTAATGTTCAAATTTCATAAGAAAGAACAGATGTAAAATATTTCTAACTTAACAGAAATTTGCTTTATTGTAGATACGTGGTTAAGCTATTAAATAAGTTATATTTTAAATTCACAATTTATTATTTACAATTTGAAAGTCTGTTTTTCAAATTCAGTAGTATGAACAATTAAGAAATCTTCAAAAATAATTATAGGTAACTAATTTTATGTTAATTTATTTTAATATCAGGAATTTGGGAGCTCATTTGAATAGATATAAAAAATAAGCTGTACTTAGTGTTCTACTAGTTTATTTCATAGCTACATAACTAAAATTGGAAATGAAAGGCAAAACTTTTTTAATAAGAAGCACATTAGCAAATGCTCTAACAATATTTTTTAAACCATTTGAATTGGTTAGATATCAGTTTACATTTTAAATTTTAGCATTTAATTTTATTTTTTATTTTTTTGAGACGGAGTTTCTCTCTTATTACCCAGGCTGGAGTGCAATGGCACGATCCCAGCTCACCACAACCTCTACCTCCTGGGTTCAAGCAATTCTCCTATCTCAGCCTCCCGAGTAGCTGGGACTACAGGCTGCACCACCATGCCCAGCTAATTTTTGTATTTTTTTAGTAGAGATGGGGTTTCACCATGTTGACCAGGATGGTCTCAATCTCTTGAGCTAGTGATCCACCTGCCTTGGCCTCCCAAAGTGCTGGGATTATAGGTGTCAGCCACTGCACCCGGCCCAAATTTTAGCAATTTTAAAATGCCCAAGTTCAGTTTCTTTTAAAAATCAAATAAATTCTATCTTCACATATTTATTTGTTGTGAGAACAACTGAAACTACTCTTGGCAATTTTCAAGTGTATAATACCTTGTTATTAACTGTAATCACCATGTTGTACAAGAAGTCTCTTGAACTTATTTCTCCTGTCTAATTAAAATTTTGCATCCTTTGATCATCTTCTAGACCCTTTCTCCACAACACTGCCCCCGCCCCTGGTAACCACCATTCTACTCTGCCTCTATGAGTTTCACTTTTTTAGATTCCACATATGAGTGACATCACGTGATATTTGTCTTTCTGTGCACAGCGTATTTCACTTAGTACAATGACCTCCAGATTCTATCTTAATGAAGATGTACATCTTCCAGCATATTAACAATTAAAAAAATATATGGTAAGATTTTAGGAGCTAAAAAGTCAGATGACAAATACTTTCTAAAGTTAAAGAAAAGGTATCGACAACAACACTGCATGACAAAAGAATATAAGTAGATTGCAAAGTTATAATTTGTCATTTTCATAATGATCAAGGATACAATATGTTTTCTATATATATGAACTAAGTGTAAGAAAGTGATTCAAAGAAAATGATTTCTTTTTAAATTTAACCTCTTAGTTGCAGCTTTTGAAGCATTTTATTCAGATTAATCCTGGCTGAGATGAACACAATGTGTAAAATAATTATTACATAACATAACCTCAGGAGTGCTAATTCAGTTTAAAACACAGCTATTTCTATATTTTTACTGTCTGTATATAACTAGCTCTACTAATGAGAATTGCTAAATAAATAAATTATGCTTATAGACAGGCTATGTTTCATTTATATACCAACTTGCATGCTTTTCACTTGAAATGGCTGTGTTAGCCAAATTGTCAAAGAAATTGAAGCAAGGGTCATCTTGTCATTCTTCCTGCCCTTTGTCATTTCTGAAGCTTCCTAAGTAACCCTATGAGATCACCAATGCACATTCATAATCCTGACCCTGATCTACCTTCTTCTCAGAGCAATGTCTGCTTTGGGAAGATAAACGAAGGTAGAATGCAGTTTTATTAATATGTTTGAAACTTCTTTGCTCCTCCCAAATATTCTTCCACAGATAAAGAGGAACACAATGATGAGCTTCGGGTTTGCATCCAAAAAGTTGATACAACTTATTTTACTCCCTTGCCAACAAAAAAAAACTGATGCAAAGCTTCTCTTCATACGTGATGAATTCCAGAAACAACTACATTATCAAAACTCCTTGAAAAAGTTGCTTCCCTTCATATAAATGACGCATATTTATTCTTATTTTCCTAGCATATTTCACAACATGGCTTATATTACGAATTTCAACACGACCCAAAAGCGTGTGTGTTCCATCTTGGGATAGAAGGCTGAATTAACAAGTTTGAGCTGATGTTCTGTCCCTTGGAGTGAGAGAGTCAAGAAAAAATCATAATCCTGGTGAGCAGCAAACAGTGACAAGAAAAAGTAAGAAGATATCATAATAAAACCAGAACCTGAAGAGAATGCTCCAGCATAGATACGTCAGTACCTCAGTCCCAACCTCTCTCTTCAAGACCATAGCAGCCCTAATGGCACAAACCATCTGTCAAGCAATGGAAATATTCACTCTTTCATAAGGGAGGTGGAAAAATGCTAGTTTATAGGAAAGGTCATTTTGTTGACCCATTTCCAGAATGTGTCAAGTTTGAAAGCCTAAATGAAACTTCTATAGAAACATTCTTTTTCATAGTGATGAGCTGGTGAACTATTCTAGTATTAGATATCATATATATGTATATAATTGCATTTTAGGTTTTGGGGTACATGTAAAGAACATGCAGGATTGTTGCATAGGTACATACATGGAAATGTGGTTTTCTGCCTTCCTCCCCATCACCTATATCTGGCATTTCTCCCCATGTTATCCCTCCCCAACTCCCCACCCAGTGCTGCCCCTCCCCTAGATTCCCCCCACAGACCTCAGTGTGTGATGCTCCCCTCCTTGTGTCCATGTGTTCTCATTGTTCAACATTCGCCTATGAGTGAGAATGTGCGGTGTTTGATTTTCTGTTCTTGTGTCAATTTGCTGAGAATGATGGTTTCCAGTCACAGTATTAGATATTTTAAAAATGAACACCCTAGGTATTGAAGCACAATGAGCTTCCATAAAAATTTGCAACAAATTTCTTGTTTCAGTTCATAGTATTATGTTATAAGTTAGATATTAATTTTTTGAGATGGGGTCTTTCTCTGTCACCCAGGTAGGGGTGCAGTGGTGCTATCATGGTGTGTGCCAACATTCCTGGGTAACTTTTTGTAGAGACAAGATTTCACCATGTTTCCAGACTGGTATTGAATCCCTGGGCTCAAACGATCTGCCTGCCTTGGCCTTCCAAAATGTTGGGATTACAGATATAAGCCACTGTGTCTGGCCTAGACATTAAATATTTTTAAATGAAGACTAATAAACATACTTTAATAGAGAATATCAGTAGTACAGATGATTCAAACTGAAAAAAAAAAATTCTCCTGAATATATTTTGCCTAGAAAAAAATATTGTTTTAAATTCCACCTCCCTCCAATAAATTCTCTTTGCCAAAATCACATAATAATGATATCATACATGGTATTGGGAAAAGGAATTCAAAACTGTGACAAGTCAGACATAAATATCTTAACTAAAAAGACTTGAGTTTTGCCTGCAGAGAATACCACTCATTTTAATGTTTGAAATACAATTGCCTCACTCCCAGTGGGAACCCTTACTATGTAATATAAGAAACCAGGTTCGGTCTTGCTCACAGTTGAATTCCTATAATGAAGTTCAGCACTTCAAGGGGAGACTGGCATAGGTCATTAAACCTAATCCAGCAAATAGTAATTAATAGAAATGAAAGAAGACTATGCCACAAAGAGAAAAATTACATTATTTAATGATTGTTAAGACTAAGTTGAGAGCTGAATTACATTGGAAAGCCCAGAGGAAAACAGCAAAATAGAAAACAACTCTGGTTTGAAATAAGTAGGTAATTTTAAATTTTAAATTAAAATGCTTAGGAGCTTTCATCTTTATCCATGTTTACTTTAAAATAACTGATCCCAAAGTATTATATGAAATATTGCAGAACTAGTGATCTGGAGATGTTTTATCACCACAGAATCTTGTTTGTAAGGAAAACATACACATAATCAGTATACTCACTGGAGGTGTTGATACTTGAGTTATTCTTAGTTGGTTTTCCAAATCTTGTACTTTATTTTTAAGTTCCATATTCTCTGTTTCTAAATCTTGGATCTAAAAAGAAAATGATTATTGAATAATTTTCTGTTTTTTTTTTCCTTAGAAAATACTGGCTACAGTTATGATTAGGATTTTGCATTACATAAAATTTTAATAAGCCTTGGAAATGTTGGAGGACTCTAGTTCATTGAAAAGACTTAAATTTATAATATATTTTTATGTGTGTGCAAATTTTATGTTCCTAATGCCTCAACTTTGTGTTTTCTTGTTGGACTGTGCAATCTATACTCATAATCTTGTAGTATAACCGCAAGACAGTGAAATTTGCTTATGATGATTTTGAAGAGTGGAGAAAGGGCATAATTTAATCACAAAGGAATCTGATCTCCATGGAAAACCACTTACCCAGCATCTGCTGCTTCTGCTGCTCTGATCCCCATGAGAAGCATCAGGAAGTGAAGCAAAGTCACATGAGAACACTAAGTTCTTGTGGGAATTCAATATAAAATAGTTAAAAAAAAAAAAAAACTGTGCAGGGGATCAGGAATGAAAAATTATAGGAACACAGTGAAAGCAGTTCCAATCAGTCAGTGTGGGGAAAATTTAATGGCAGGCCTTCTAAATTTGTTTGATGATATGCAAGTTTCCCTGTACTTATATATCACACAAATGTAAAACAACAAGCTTAGTTTACTCACTCTTTTTTGTAACCCTGCGATCTGTTTTCTTGTTTCAACATCTTTTCCTCCTGATTCTAGAAATTTCCTGTATGCCAGGTCAAATGCTTGGCCAATTGTTAAAGTGATCTCTTCAGCCTGTGTAAAAATGAAACAAAGGTTTGCATTTTAATATGTTGAACTTTTTTTGAATCAAGGAAACAACATTCACGTAAGTATTGACTCCAAGACATTCACAAGAGGTACTTCAAAAGGACAACACTTGGAAGTAGAGGTGCAGTAAATAAGTAAGGTAGTATGCTAAGATAATAACTCAATGCCTACCCATGCACAACAATGAAAAAGAAAGCAGACTTCGTGTTGGGCATTACTGAACAGCTGTTGAAGTGGCAAAGTTGGAAGCAAGAGTTCTTTCTGTCAGACATTTATTTCCTACTTGTTTTCCTCCCTTCCTCAAATATTTAGTGCCTATTAAACAAAAGCAGAGTGCCAAATGCAGTTTCTCTCCTTGGTTTGCTACTTATTTCCTTTTCCTGAGGAGGGTTTGTTAAACTCTAAACAGGTAACGTGAATGAGGCTGGCCAGGTGGTGTCTTTGGAAAACTTGAGGTATGCCCTCTAAATGGAACACCTGCTACTCGGTTCCAGTTAATTGTTATCTGGTGGAAGTGAGCAATTCCAATGTGAAACTGTCAGATTTTACATATGCAAGATGAGGTCAGAAACCTGAAACTTTATGTGAGAGCTCCCAATTTTAAGCGATAGTAAACAGTTTGTATTTTAGTAAAACACAGTGCCAATAATCAAAATATGTATATCTTCTGAATTTGGGCTTGTAAACAACTATCTCAGTTCTACTGATTAGAAACTGCCACAAATATATCTTACGTCCATCAGCTTATTTCTTCTCCATTCACATCTCCATTGAATTCATGATGTCTTGCACATTGTAAGGATTAAATATTTATTTACTTAATCAAATTATAAAGAATTTTGGTTAAGGCATTAAGAAGATTTAATGTGTCATAATTATGTCACATAGTAAGACCTCCAGTTAACAAAAGACTAGCATAGTAGCAATATATTGAAAATGCTATGCTTTAATTATAGTACAAATTCTAATACTTTATTATCTACTGTAATCAACATAAAATAAAAATATGATTTGTTAATAAGCTTAGATCATTTAATGGAATTTTTTTATAGTTCATGATTTAAGAAGGGCTTTAGACAAAAATTATATTATTTAACCTAGTTAACTAAAAAATGCAAAATTTGTACATATTATAAAAAGTTTTACAAAAGCAAAGAAAAAAAGACAAGAAAATAAACCTCAATGAGCTAAAATAAAAACTACTAAATAAATGAAAATGACAGATACCAGTTTATACATGTTCAATGACTCAAACTAATTGGTTATGTTAGATGTTAAGATTATTTGTAGTATTAAAAAGTGGTAGAAGTGGTTTTGATTGATTTGGGGAGTATAAATAATTTGTTTTCCTAATTCCAAAACTTTGGGTAATAGGTTTGTATTTAAGATAAAAAGACATTTTTCTTTTTCCTTTTAAAAATTTCCTCTAAAAAAAATGGGATACATGGGCAGAATGTGCAGGTTTGTTACATACATATTACATGTGCCTTGGTGGTTTGCTGCACCTATTGACCTGTCCTCTAAGTTCCCTCCCCTTACCTCCCACCCCCTAACAGGCCCTGGTGTGTGTTTTTCCCTGCTCTGTCTCCATGTGTTCTCATTGTTCAACTTCCACTTATGAGTGAGAACATATGGTGTTTGGTTTTCTGTTCCTGTGTTGGTTTGCTGAGGATGATGGGTTCCAGCTTCATCCATGTCCCCGCAAAGAACATGATCTCATTCCTTTTTATGGCTGTATAGTATTCCATGGGCCATATGTATCACATTTTCTTTATCCAGTCTATCATTGATGGCTATTTGGGTTGTTTCCAAGTCTTTGCTATTGGAAATAGTGCTGCAGTAAACATACATGTGCATATGTCATTATAATAGAATGATTTGCATCCCTTTGGGTATATACCCAGTAATGGGATTGCTGGTTCAAATGGTATTTCTGGTTCTAGATCCTTGAAGAATTGCCATACTCTTTTCCACAGTGGTTGAACTAATTTACATTCCCACCAACAGTGTAAAAGCATTTCTATTTCTTCACAGCCTCACCAGCATCTATTGTTTCCTGACTTTTTAATAATCACCATTCTGACTGGCATGAGATGGTATTTCATTGCGGTTTTGATTTGCATTTCTCTGATGATTAGTGATGCTGAGCTTTTTTTCATATGCTTGTTGGCCACATAAATATCTCCTTTTGAGAAGTGTCTCTTCATAGCCTTTGCCCATTTTTTGATGGGGTTGTTTTTTCTCTTGTAAATATGTTTAAGTTCCTTTTAAATTCTGGATATTAGACCTTTGTCAGATGGGTAGATTTTTAATTATAGGTTGTTTTCCTTTTAAATTATAATTTCAATATATCCTTTTAATGAGACATTATGTTATCTTCAAATACTCAATTTGTACATTGTAAAGAATCATTTAAATGATAACACTGTTGATTATTAATGACATTTGGCTTCATGGTAAGTATTATTTATATTAATAACTTTAAAAAATCATGTTCCATTTTTATAATAATATCTTTATTGGGCACTTAGCTGTCTCGTAAATATTCTACATGTATTATCTTATTGATTCTCATCATTAACTCTGAAGTTATTATTATTAATACATATGATGAAACTGCAATTTTGTAAAATTGTATAACTTGTCTAAAGCTAGTGAGTGGAGAACCTGAAATTCAAATCCAGATTTTCTGACTCTCCAACCATCACACTTTTGGGGGTGGGGAGTAAAATGTATATACAATGAAATGCACAGGTCATAATAAATTTATAGATCATAGAATCTACATAATCCCTAACTTATTAAAGATAAAGAATATTTCTAGCCAACCAGAATGTCTCTTATGCCTACTTTCAGTCAAATCCCATCTATTACGGGTGACCATTGCTCAATTTTTGCCATTATAGTTTTGCCTATCCTTGTCATCTACAAAAATAGACCATACAATATGCATTTTTTGTCTATTCTTTCACTAACTTAAAGTTTTTGAGTTTCGTATGTTTTGTACATATCAACAACACATTGGTTTTGTTGCCTATTAGCATTTCAATATGTTACAAATATACCACAAGTGATTTATCCATTGTATTATTGATGGGCATTCATGGCTTTGTCAGCTCTTAGTTATTAGACATGAAACTGGTACAAACATTCTTCTAAGATCTTTTTGTAGACATATGCTTTCTCGATTCTTGGTAAATACCTAGAATGTAATTGTTAAATCATGCGAGGTCTACCTTTAATATTATAAGAAACTGTGCAACTGTTTTCCAAAGTAATAACATCATTTGGCATTTCCACCAGCAGTAACAGAGTTCTAGTTATGCCACAACCTCATAAACAACAGATATTGACAGTCTTTTTTATTTGATTCATTTAACTGGATGAGTGATGCTATAGTGTTTTAAAATTACATTTCCCAGTTGAATAATAGTATTAGCTCAGTTTCATGTGTTCGTTGTCCTTTTTACGTTCTCTTTAATAGACTAACTTCCTGTAGAAGTCTACTGCCCACTTTTATTGGTGTTTTGTCTTTTTATTAGTGATTTTTAGGAGCTTTTTATATGGTCTGGATACAGATCCTTTTTCAGATGCACATATTGGGGATACAGTTTCATAGTATGTGGCTTGCCTTTTCACTTTGCTGATAATGTTTATAGACTAACAGAAAACATTTTATTTTTTTATAAAGTCCATTGAATCCTTTTTTTGGTCATGTTTAGTGCTTTTGGGGTCATTTCTAGGAAATCACTATCCATCTAATTTCATAGTGACATTCAATGTTTTTGTAATAAAAGTTATGTATAAGATTACAAAAGCTTCTACTTTTATGTCTATGATCCATCTCAAATGATTCTATGCAGCATAAGTAGAAGATAATTCTTTATAATTTTTTTCACATATTTAGCTAGTTATTTCAACACCATTTATTAAAAAGACTTTCTTTTTTCCATTGAATTTTTTTGTCTCCATTTGTGAATAAAAGTTAACCATCTACGTATGGATATTTCTAAAATCTACAATACAGTTTAACTATTATCTGTTTATCATTACATTAATACCACCCTGACTTGATAAGAGTTTAAGGTAAGTTCTGAAATCAGGAATGCTTCTCCAGATTTTGGTCTTCTCTCTCCAAATTACTTTGGTTTTATTTTAGGTCACTTATATTACCATATTAGAAGTAACTTTTCAATTTCTACTAACAACCCCATTGTGATTTTAATTAGAATTGTACTGAATTCATGGATCAGTCAATTTGGTAGAATTGACCACTTAATTAAACTGAGCCTTCCAACCCATGAATATTATATCATTCTCCCATTAATTTAGGTCTTCATTACTTACAGCAATACTGTGAAGATTTCAGTATAGATGCCTTGCACATTTTTAAAATCCTCATTATTTCATGTTTCCTGATGCTATGGTAAATACATTTTTAGTTCTTTCTTTTTGTTAGTAGACAGAAACAATTTAATTTTGTATGTTGACTTGTAACCTTTGTTTTTACTAAATTTGTTTCACAAATCTTGTGGTTGTAGATCCTCAGCATATTTTTGTAAAAAAGTTGATATTATATCCATGAAAAAGACAATTTTTTACTATTTCTTTCCAATCTGTGTGCCCTTCCTCCCCATCTATTCACTAGTGAAGACACCCAATACCATGTTAAATAGGTAGTAAGAATGGACATCTTTGCATTGTTCCTAGTCTTAGGAGGAAAGCATTCAGTAATTCACCATTAGTTATGATGTTACCTGCAGGACTTTTAAAGTCTTTATCAGAAAAAGAAATGACTCTTCTATTCCTAGCATGTTATGAATTTTACCAGCAATTGGGTTGAATTTTATCTAATGCTTTTTCTATATTTGCTGAAATGACTGTGTTATTATTCTGTTAAGATGTTGTATTATGTTAATTTATTTTTCATATGTTAAACCAAACTTGTATTACTGGGATAAACCCCACCTGGTAATAATGTATTA